GGGCGAGCTCTGGGTGGAGGATCCCGACAAAAGGATGGACGCTTTCACCGACGAAGCCGGTAAGACCTGGCTTGGCCGCAACCTTCAAACTTGTCGAAAACCCGTGCTCCTAAACCCTCACCTTCGACATGCTGTCCAGCCCTTTACAGGAAACAGGCATTCTCTTATTGCCTACTCATCAGGGGGGTGGACCAAGCTGAGTGAAGATGACAAGCAACTCCTACGGGGCACTGATTTTAGGACGCCCCGGGCTCAGTTGAAACATGCGTGCGTTTGTTTATGTGCATCCCCTCACGATGAGGGGGGTAGAAATAGTCCCAAAACCACTCCCGAAACGGTCGAGTCGTTTTTGCGTGCATCGATCGAGAACGCACAAACATACACCACATGCACAAGTGCTTCGGTTGAGCCTGCTGTACCGACTCTTTCTGTGCTAGCTGGCTCTCTCCAAGTGGTCAGCAGCATCGAGGCATTAGGAACCATGTCGCGATTGGTCGCCCATGGTGAAGGCTACTCCTGCGATACTGGCTTGGAGGGCCGACCTTTGGCACTGCAAGGACATCTCAACATGCTCGTCAACGCCGGACTGAGCGTGGAGTACTTGCAGCTCCAGGCGGGGAAGGAGTATGACGCGCTCCTCAAGTCCTATGAGGTCTTCCCCCCACAGACCATCGCCAGCCTCAGCCTCAATGACCCCGAGATTCCAACGCCGAATCTGCTCAAGCTAGCTCGCATATCGAATGAGGGTCTCAGCAAGCTCCAGCCAACCGAAAGGTTGCGCCGAAGTCGCTTTCTGCTAGTGGTGACGGACTCAGTCACATCCCTCGGACGACAGAACACCAAGGGGAAGTGGAAATTCTCCATTCCCGAAGAGGAAATCTTCATGGCAGCACTGACCCTCAGGTACACGAGCGATAAACTCCACATGTGTTGGGGCAAGACGCTTTCATGGCTTACTTGGCAGGTGCAGGAGGAGATCCAGGCAATCCGTGCCAAGTATGGGTCGGAGTGCGAGATCGATGTGATCGTTTGGTGGTCAGGAAATGAAGTTGCTGGACGACGAGGATGCATCCCCACGCGGCTCGCCCCGGGCGCGGCATATTCAACCTCCCAGACCTCGGCAGAAGATGTTGCGAGGAAGGTGAGGCGCTGCGCCGACGCACTAGCCACCCTAGCGGGTGAGCCGCACATCGGGTTTGTCCGCATCGTCGGCAACGTTGACCACGAGACTTACAACTTGCATCCCGCATACAACGAATTCATCTCCAAGATGTTCCATGAATTCACATGTCGCGGACTGCAAGTTCAAAACGCCACATCCCAGGCAATGAAGCTGTCCTATTACGATGATTTTCATCTTTGGGATACCCCCGAAAACCGCAAGCAGATCCAAGACTACATCTACACCACGGCGCTCCTTGGCGACCTGGAAAAGGAAGCGTCACGTTATGCAGATGTTCTGGATCGACTAGGAGATCTTTACCCCTACCTAGAGGTGGAAGGCGGCTACAGGATGGACAGTACAGCAGGTCGTGAAGCCCTACGCCTCTACAAGGAGGTGGTTGAAAGTGGCAGAAACGACCTGAAAGTCCACAAAATCAAGGCGCCTGTGCCCGTGAAGATCAGCACGGAAGACACCTGGTGGGAGGTCCCCGACGCTAACACTGCGCATGAACCAGTTGCCGCACCCGCTCAGCAAGACAAAACGATCGCCCGATCAGAGGTGGAGTATCCTGTGGTTTCGGACGTGTCGGAGATCGCTGAGGTCAAGGATGAGGTCGTCCAGGCCGAGTCAGAGAAGGCTGAGTACCTTCCTCTGAACGAGGTCGTGTTCGCCGATGAAGGGGATTATCGACCTCCCCTGGCATCAGATGGCCGGGCAACAAGCGCAGCTACCCGAAAGGGTAAGTCGTCGGGGCAAAGCGAGGATGTCTACGCCCGCGAGATGTACCAGGACGCATCCAAAACCCATGGTGCAGAGGAAAGCCAGGAGCCGGATCTCCCGATGACCGGATACTGGTACAATGGGAAGCTCCACGACCTTGAGCCCCTGCCAAGTGCCGATCTCCGCAAGTATGAACAGCGGGTGAACTTTAGGCACGGCGACCTCAAGCTGCTCAGCATGCTCTTGAGGGGGCACCAGAACGACTGGTATGGGCTGGACTTCGACATCGCCATGTGGACGGATGTCGATAAGCTCCTGGATCGTTTCAATGAAGCAACTCATCGAAAATGGGGCGTAAGACAGCTGCTGCAGGTGACCGCGCAGGACAAAAAGAGGAGGTTCGAGATTCTTGGGATCCGACATGAGATCAGCAACAGCCTGAATCTTTCCCTCTTCCCTGTGCGGGTCAGAGCAGCCACCGGTCACTCGGAGAAAGTGATGCGCATCGAGTCAGACGAGTTCCTTGCCCGGAGGTTTCTCACCAATGAAAATTTGGATGTCGCTCCACAGGTCATATACCACCGCACGGACGCGAAGAGCGTGGAGTCGATTTTGAAATCCGGGATCAAGGTCGCTGGCGGCAGAAAGGGCGGGCGTGCCCATGCCTACTTCTCACCTACCACCCTCAAGGACGAGAAGTACACCTCTGGACTCAGGTCAACGCAGCCGTTCCAGATTGCGGTGAATCTGCATGAAGCTCTCCGAGATGGCCTCGTCTTCTTTGAGAACAGTACCCGCGGGATTTTGACCCGTGCAGTCGTTGACCCTCGGTATATCCTTTCGTGCGTGGACACCACCACGAACAAGGTGATTTACGCAAGAACAGGAGAGGCACAGTCTGCAGCCACCCGAGAGGGTGAGCCGGATACTGTTGAACAAGCTTCATCGAGCTCAACAGTCAAAGCCTTGGCGTCAAGGGCTGTCCCTGAAGACCAGCCCAAGCGAGTCAAGGGCACTGTTGGCGCCTTCCTTGAGGCAAAGAAGGCGAGGACCGACGCTGCTGCGCTGGAACCCATTGCAGAGCAAGAAGAGGCATCGATGGATGACCAACCGCAGCCTGCACAGGAGATATCCGACACGGAAGAAGCAGAGAGCGATAGCGAAGCCCCATACGGGAGCTATCCATGCTCGGCCTGCCAGCGCATCGTCCTGCTTGGGCAGCGTTTCTGTATGACGTGCGGTGAGAACCAGTTTCCGGAGTCCAACAAGGCAAGCCGGCAGTACACTTCGTTCCAGCAAAACCGCCGTACTACACTCCTCAAGCTGACGTACAACGCTCGGAATGAGGATCTCCTGGGACACCTCCGTGGCATCGCAGAAAAGTTTAGCAAACAGCGGGGCTCAGTCTCCCTGGATGCGCTGATCATACGCGATGCCAAAGACAAGTTCCAACGAGCGAGGAAGCTCAAGTTCGACTCCATTGCTGACCGGTTGGAACGGGATGCCACCTTCTTCCTGCAGATGATGAGGAACGGAATCACGGTTCAGGATGCGTGCCGAATGGACCTCCTGGTGAAGGCCGTGCTCCCGGACCCAGGCCGCACGGAAGAGCAGCGGCTTCTGCAGGCGGGGTCGAACTACCTCAGCGGAGCTTCCCGAAAGGGAATGCCGGGCAAGTTGGTTTACTATGGCGATGCGCCGATGGATGGCCTAAAATCGGCTGGACTGATTGACCAGTTCTCCGAGAACCCCATCGGGATGGCCTACGGCGGCGCCTTCATCGGCTTCAGCTTCTATGCCGATATCGCCACCCGCTTGTCCGGTGCTCGCACAATCTACAGCTTCAACGGCATTGTGGAACTCAAGCATGAAACGCCGGAAGGCATGATTGCCGATCTGCAAATGCTAGCAGCCGAATGCATCCACTCTGCCGAGGAGCAGGAAAGAATCACCGCCTATCACGCCGCCAAGAATCGAGAGACGGCACAGCAGCGAACGGAGGCTGCCACGACAACCCGTCCCTCGACACAGAGCGCCTCATCAAGAGACACAGCTGTTCGCGGAGCACCCTGGCACCAAGGGCAAGAACAGTGGTGGTCAGATCGTGAATGGCGCGAATGGCGTGAGTGGCGTGAGCCAACTAGTCAGGGTTGGGGCTCATCCCGCTGGAGCAATCAGCGCGGATCGCAGTGGTGGAGCCGCTGAATGCCCATCTTGTATGCACAATAGCTCAAGTTTTGCTTTTCCCTTCACCTTTGCTTCGGTCATAGCGAGTGGGACAACACGGGCCACCCGAAAGGGTGTGTCGTAATCCTCTGTCCACCTTAGCTTGTGCCAAGCACGGTGAGGGGGGTGTAGTTTTTCATGTAGGAATTACACTCCTTTTGCGAGCTGTGCATAACATCACTTTACCCTCGACTGTGGCTCAAGTTGCCGATAAAAAGAGGCGTACTTAACGGTTTACATGTTCCCTCATGTGCTGACCTGTAAACTTCAAACAGCCGGCTCCTCTCTAGAAGCGAGCGCACGTGCGGTGAAGGGTGAAGGGTTTGAGGGAGCTGAGGCCCTTACCTTGAAGCTAAAGCTCCAGTTCATACCCTCGTCGCATGAGTAGAGGCCTTGGGCCTCAGGCGATCTTGCTTGGGGGCTTACGGCTTCGGCTCGAGCTAAAGTTTCCAGGGGGCCCCCCTCAAGTACGAATTTGACATTGCTTACGTTTCCACCAGTTTTGGTGGGAAGCTCGGCTTGGGATCCTAAAGCCCAGAGAACCCAATACTCCTTAATTGAGGAATATACCTTGAATTATACAGGGATCCTTATTATGATTTAAGGAATATTCCTTAATTCTTAATTAAGGTGTATTGGGCTCTTTGGGTGAGCCTAAGCTTGTAGACCCGAAGCCTCTCGGTTAGGGGTTGAAGGGTTTGGAGGCGTTGATGGTTCAGAGCTCCTTCATGACCCCTGACCCTCACAGCGCCACAAGAATTCACTAGCCCTGCGTAAACCTCAAATCGCTACCCCCTTTGAACCTCCCCCCCCCCCCCCCCCCCCCCTTGCAAACCTAATTAACAGCCAGCGCCAAAGCCTGGAAACTCCTTGGAATCCCAACATCGAGGTCGTCTTGACCCCTGACTTGCTGAAGAGAATGTGGTGTGCTGGCGAGATCGTGACGGCCTTCAAGCCGCGGGGCTGAAAAACTCGAGAATTTTGGGGGGAGCTCCGTTGTTTTTTTTTTTCTTCGGGTTCGGAAGGGCTGAGGGGGGTTTGGGGTTTGGGCGGTTTTGGGGTTTGGGCGGTTTGGGGGTTTAGGGTTTCGGGGTCGGAGGTTTGGGGTTAGGTTAGGCTTCAGGGTTTTATTTCAGGTCCTCCGAGGCGATCCTGGAACCTTGATTCTACCACGAAGCCCTATTCAACCCCAAACCCTTGAAACTGATGGCACTAACAGCACTTATCTTGGATACCATTCGACTGCCATACCCTAAACCCTAAACCCTAAACCCTAAACCCTAAACCCTGAACGTTTACCCTTTTAGCATCCAATCTCTCTTTCCGCTGCCATGTGGCTCGCGTGCAAGTATGCAGCTTTGATGGTGGTTGCGCTGGGGCGCGCAACCATCACGCCCGAGGACCCTGAAGTTTCCTCACTGGTGCATCTGACATACGCGGACTTTTCACTCCAGCAGGCGAAAAACCGCAAGACTTCCTCGCATGATGGCCCTAAGAAGCCGAAGCCGACCGACAACAAGGATAAGTCATCTGCTGCTGATGCTGACAAGTCCGACGTTCGAGGATTTCTCTCCCCCATCTGAGAGCGAGGAGCGGAGAGCAAAGATTCTTAGTCTTTGAATCGTAAGACATCTTACATTAAACTGCGAATATCGAAATGCCATGGGGAGGCCAAGAATCTCTGTAGATTGGATGCCGCACTGAGCAAATCATCGCGAGTGAGAAAAAGGAAGAGCGCCTACTGAGCCCTTTTGAACATGTCTAGCAGGTACCGTCCTGATCGACCGCCTAGTTACATAAGTTCCCTCTCCCCCGCCCCTTAACGGTAGACCCTTTAGTGTGGTAGCTTTCCTGTTTCTGAGGTAACTGGGCAGGAGGTGGTCAGGCTCTGTTGTACACAGTTATTGAAGCCCGTGCAGACCTAGGCAGCTGTAGCTCCCCGCTTGAAGGGGGGGGACTTGTCACCTTCAGCTGATGATCTTTTGACTGATGCGGATTATTCATGTTGAATCTTTGCTGCGGTGCTGAAGACCCCCCCGCAGCATGTGCTCAATCGATTCCGTCCTACCCTGAATGCCCTTTTGGCGATATCCCCTGCAGGTATAAGCTGCCCCGGGGTACCAGTTTCTCCATGTTGCCATTTCCGACCATGTACCCCGCGTTGCCGTGGCTAGTCGGGTGGCAAAAAAAAAACCCTAAACCCTAAGCCCTAAACCCTAAACCCTAAACCCTAAATAAACCCTGAACCCTAAACCCTATGAATGATAGGATATTACTGATATTACCCCAGAGTCCGAAGTTTGGGCAGTGAGACTCGGCGAGGTAGAGCTGAGGTCCTCAGGTTTCCGTGCGGAAAAAGGGTGTTTGCTTGGGATTTTGTTGTCCTGTGCCCGCATACCCTTCGCACCCAACGGGAGAGAACTTAAGATCCCTGAGCAGGAACAAGGTCAACACGGTGGTGATGAAGTGTGGTGACATTGTGCCGCTGTCGACACAGGACTCCCAAAACGTCCGCACACATGTTGGACTCTCCCACCCTAAACCCTCAACCCCCCATCGGTGTCAACCCGCCAACGCGACAGCCCTCAAGCTGCCCTTGAACTAAGAAGAAGAACATGCCTGGGTTCATAGTAAAGGCCCCTATACAGTCTAAGGTTTGATTTAGGGATAATGGGCTCTGGGTAAACCGGAGGGCGCAATATAAAAGCATCTCCAGCCATGAGGGCCATAGCAGCTGACAGCAGCTGGTTCCGATTGAACTCGCTCGAACCCTACTCATCACTGATCCACTCCACGAATCAACTGGCTTTCTGCGTTGCATTTGGGTGCGTTATGTGGAAACAAAACTGTCGTCGTACCTGGCTGTGGGGTGGAGTTGAGGGGGGGTTGTATGAGGGGCGGTCTCTGGAACTGGCGGCATTTGTCAGTTTGGGGTTTAGGGTGTAGGGTTTAGGGCCGGATCCTGGGCCAAAGAGGATATCTTCCCCCGCAAGGACACAGAAGAGATCAACGGCATATGGACGGAGGACGAGAAGAAACTTCTGGGAGGTCACGGCATCAGCATGGACGACGTGAGGGAGGCCTTGCAGATCCTTTGGGGACATCACTGGCATGGGCAGTGTCTCCTGAGCAATAGTTGCGATTATGGATCCTGAATGTGCTCGGGTAGCTTTCCCGGAGAAACGGCAACATAACCTTCTCATGGAAAAGAACATGTGCTGGTTCAGGGCATCTAAACAGGATCGGCCTCGAGATGCTCCAGACGGCCCTGAACCCCAAAATCAGCCCGAAGCCCCCGACCCTAAACTTGTTTGTAGTGGTCCCAGAGGGCGGGTGGCAAAAAAAACTTGTTTGTAAGTGGCATGCAGGGGATACATCTGAGGTTTAGTGTTCCTTCGGGAGGTTGGCGGGTGGGCTGAACAAACACCCTCCACTTCCTTGTGTAGGGTTTAGGGCTACTGTGAACCGAGGCCTGCTTTGAAAAGGGTTTTCCTCTTGCATGCTTGCCGGCAGCCTCAAAGTTCCCCAAAAAGGAGGGTTCTCCTCTTTCGTCAGGCCTACGCGTGGCTCCAAGGCCTCGACACCATCTCGATGCCTCGCTTTGGAGGCTTGGAGATCCGCGAGCAGGCCGGTGATTCATAAACCTTGAGAGCCCTGTTAAAGTCATTGAATTTTGAAGGCCACCAAGCCTTGGGATGTTCTCCCTTATACTAACAGTCCTTAATAGGGACTGTAGTAATTACCCCATATCATAATCCATATTAAGGACTGTTGGTGTAAGGGGGAACATCCCATTTAAGACCCATAAACGAGGTCCCTGAATCCCAAACCCCAGGACCTAGGGCCAGGGATTTGGAGGTCAGGATTCTGCGTGGATGCCAAGAGATTGCCTAGCCGAAGCTCTTTCAAGTCATGACAGTCAAGAGTTGAATGGTCACCCCATGCGCCGGATTGGGTTGGGGCAGTCATGGCTGCAGCCTAAGGCGAGGAATCAGAAACGTCTTCGGAGATTGATGCGCAACTTCAACCCTAGGCCCGCCCTGAATCTAGACAGCCTTGCAGCGCACGATGGTGGGCCACCCGAACCCGAAACCCCGAGAAAGCCTCCTCTACCAGGCAGTGGAAGAGATGCTGTCTCGCTGCCGGCTGCTGTCACTTCACCTGCGCCCCGGCTTGCCTTGCGCAGGGTCAGCGGTGAAGACCATGCGAAGCTCAAGGGTGACCCCTTTGTTGCCTCCCTCCCCCCTTCCCACCCTCCCCACTCTGCTGACTCTGTAGAGGCGAAGGTTTGGAAACGAGGTTTCGCAGCCGATTTTTGTTCGGCGGATTGTTGTGTTCAAGTTGCTGCGGGTGGGTGGGGGTGCCCAAACTATCCCCCAGTAAAGCCCTACATCTAACCCCTCTTGAGCTACACCTCAAAACCCAAGTCACCAACCCCGACGTCAGGTCCTGGCACTGCAAAAGCACCGGGAACTCCGTAAAGCCACGGATCCTCGCAGCAGGTAGAGGTTCTGTGTTTCTTTCTTGGGCTACTCTGGAGAGTTTAGGGCTCAGGGTTTCGGGATTAGGCAGGTTCTAGGTGTTGGGGTTCTTGAGCTTTTTGTTAGTTTTCTTGGTTTTTGCCGGTGTTGCTTGTGTCGTGGTTGCCACTCGAACCCATTTCTCCGCCTGGTGGTTGGGTCACAGCTATTGGCGACGTAAGCTAGAGAAGATGCGCCTCACAAGGCCTCAGGGTAGCCCCTGACGCCTTGTTGGAGACCCTCACCCCCTAAACCCTGAACCTTAAACATCTTCCTAAACTCCTCCTATAAACCCTAAATAATACTAATTAAAGCCCCCGTATTCGCCTGTAGGATTATAAATGAACTCACTCACACTATTATTAACATAACGCAGAGTGAAGCACACACATAACAGCGTACATCCGTCCCTCGTGAATGAAGAACACAACCTATCGTTGGGGTCTTTGCGTCTATTCACTCACCCTGTACTATTATATCGTGAAGAGAGCACTAATTCGCAGGCTTTATAAGGAGTGAGCATAGTGAATGACGCATGAAAGCAAAGAATTGGGCGAACGAAACACAAGAACGAAGTAAAGGGGCCCTTATTATAATTCTATTCATTTACTCCTTTGTTCATAATATTATTATTCTCTTCTAGTTCCAAGATTATAAACTGTGGACAAGTGAGTGAATCCCACAAGAACAGATAAAGAACGTACGAATATTGCCCTTTTAATTGGGAAAATATTATGCTTGGATTAATAATATAATGGGGCCTTAATATAAATCTCTTAAAAGCCCCCTTAATTTCTATTTCAATTTTATTAATTTTAGGAAATTTGAGAAGAAAACTCAATAAAATATGAACGGCCCCATCACTAGTGAAATGAAGGAAAGGGAATTAGCATAATAGTATTACTGTTGTCCCTTTGAATAGACGCACGGTATCATAACACCAGATATTAATAGATTTCCTGCATTCCAAAGCCAATTTACTAAAAGTGTAGCGAATTAGCTTATTTTGCTGGCGGCCTTTGTTGCGTACAGACGAACCGCATGATTTTATGAATTTCAAAAAATTGGAAATGCAACAATAAACGAACTGGGGAAAATGCACAAGTTTTGGAATTTTGGAAATGATATTAACGCACCAATAATCCTTTATTATGAAGAGATAAATTGTATGAACGAAATGAATTCTGTGACGCACTTTTTACTTTCTTCTTTAGTGCGTCCATGTAATCCTATTAATAGTGTAGTTTTCCCCTTTGATACTAATAATAAAATGCGCTTACAAGACGAAGAGAACAGAGTGAACGCAGTAAATTTATACGGTTATAAGTGAATGAAATAAGCGCATGAACCGTATTAATATTAGTGCGTAAACGGGATTCAACTGGGCCGCAAAATTTTTGCGGCAGCAGTGATTCAGCGAAGTTCGGGCTTCAACTGGGCCTCAAAAATTTTCCGGCAGCAGTAGTTCAGTGAAATTCGGGTTTTAACTGGGCCTCAAAAGTTTCGGCAGCGGTAGTTCAGCAAGTTTCGGACTTGAACTGGGCCTGTAAAGTTTTCCGGCAGCGGTAGTTCAGCGAAGTTCGGGCTTCAACTGCGCTTCAAAAATTCCGGCAGCAGTAGTCCAGCGATGTTCGGGTTAACTGGGCCTCAAAAAAATTTCCGGCAGCAGTCGTTCAGCAAGTTTCGGACTTGAACTGGGCTTCAAAAAATTTCCGGCAGCAGTAGCTCAGCGAAATTCAGGCTTTAACTGGGCCTCAAAAATTTTCGGCAGCAGTATTTCAGCAAAATTCGGGCTTTAACTGGGCCTCAAAAATTTTCCGGCAGCACCTGTGGCGGCAGAGGCTAGTTGAACACGTTCAGTCCTCATAAAGCAAGGATGCTAGTTGAATACGCGCGGTCCTTTAAAAGCAAGGATGCTAGTTGAACACGCTCGGCCCCCAAAAAGCAAGGATGCTAGTTGAACCTGGGAGGCCAATTACAACTTGCAGTGGCTGGACGACGCGGCCCTGCGGCCTCTAAAGCGTCCCGCAGCAGCCTCGCAGCCAACTTCGACCGAGAAGAAGACCAAGAGGACCCGCAGACATGACGTAATGCCGTAGGCTTCACTCAGTCCATCTGCAGACAGTCGACGCTCCCTTGCAGTGCGAGCAAGCCAGTCTTTGTTGTACAGTGCACAGTTGAGCCCGCCAGCAGAAAGAAAAAGCTCGATCTGTGCCTGTCGCTGTGCGTGTCGGATTTGGTGGCATAGAGCCAGCTGTGAAAATGTCACGCGTGAATGGTAGTGGATCCAGTACGGACGTGGCAGCCATCTATCTAGCATCATCTAGCCTCCCTGCCATCTCGAGCTTTTGTGTCTAGATTCCAGAAGCCGCATTCTTGTCATCTTCCACATCTTATCAGAAGGCGCGAGCATTGATCACTCACAGTAAGAAGAGAAATACCAGAAGTAGTGGGCCCGACACCATGTCCTGGAATCGTTTTACTCAGCAGCATTGCTTTCATCTCTGAAAGCGCGTGGCTCTAACGATTATTTCAGTTCGTCCGCCCTCCCGCCACGCACAGCTCCTCGGCCGAGGCGGTTGCGTCGTCTGTTGATGTTGCAGTGTATCCTTCGACCAAATCAAGTTGCATGTTCTTGTAGCACTCATGTCGCCCGTAGTTTCCTCTTGCTGAAGTCGTTTTGATAGCATTCATCCACTACTTGTAGCCTCCTGTTTGCAGGCATGACCTGCCACCCTGCCTTGGACCTCTGCAAGATCACGGACCTGCAGATTTACGGTCGCGTGGACATCTCGGGCGCTGCTGCCCTGGAAAAGACCTTGAACAACCCCGGGGGCTACGTGGCGGAGTCCCGAGAAAACGTGCAATGGCTGGAGGCGCGAGGCGTTTGCGTCCAGAGTGGCTGGGATCTGTTCACGGCCGCCGTCACCTGGACGCAGCGCTTCCCGCAGCTGGCGCCGCCGGGCGTCGTATTCGTGCACGGACTCCACTAGTACAACTCGGCGGATGCCGGCACGCGCGAGAGCGCTTCCGGCTGGACCAACGAGGAGTTCAAGTCCATGGCGTGGGAAGCGCTCAGTATTATGAATGGTGAAGAGAGTACAGTTCGTGAGTTTACAAAGTAGTGAGTTTACGAACGAATGCGTGAAACGCACGAAAGTACGAACGAAACACGGGCCCAACGTTCTATTCTTATTAACTATTATTAACTGGCCCGTAATAATAAGCTAATGAACACACTGAGTGAACTAAATTATAAACTTGTGCATGAGTTTAGTGAATGAGCGTGTGAATGGGCGCTTACGATATTATAACGGGGCCCATAATGCTAATACGCTTATAGCCCCGTATAATATTAACGCACGCGTTACGTTCTTTCGCTCATGTGGTTCGCTCTCTCACTCATGCACTACATCCTAATACTAAGGGTGAAGAGCATAATGTGATGAAGTGCGTAAGGAAAGAACAAAGTGAATTGACGCACGGCACAAAGAACATTATGAACGAAACACCCGGGCGTACATTCAATCTCTTTATTAGCCCGGTTATAATATTATTACAAGCGTGAAGCGAATAAGCGAACGCGTGAACACAATTATAAAGTAGTGAGCGTAGTGAATGAATGCATGAATTGTGTGAACATGTGAGTGAACGAGTGAGCGCCCTAATGATTCTATCCTAGATCCAGAGGTGAAAGCATAAAGTGAGTAAAAGGGCGCATGAATATACTTATTATAAGCCCTTTTGCGTACAGCATTTTGGGGGCCATTTTGGTTCTTTTTATACGGCCCCCTTGTTCCCTTAACTAAATACGAAGAGAGAGAAGCGAACGAGCGAGTGAAATGAACTCATTTGCAAGGTAACGAAGTGAACGCGCGAAATTAGTGAGTGAACGTCGTATATAAACCCTAAACCCTAAGCCCTCCTAAACCCCAAAACCTCTAAACCCTAAACCCTAAGTTCTCCTAAACCCTAAAACCCCGAAACCCTAAACCCTAAGTTCTCCTAAACCCTAAACACCCCTAAAGCCCAGGATTCTCATCACGGGCGCTGTCAAGGAGGCCGAGGCGCTGTCAGCATGCGCCGCCCAGATGCAAGATGGTCCAGAGGGCCTCAGGGTTTCGCGTTATGGGGTTTAGGGTTTAGGCCCCAAGTTTTCTTCTGATCAGTTGCATTCTTTTGCTTGATCTTGAGAGACTTTTGCTGTTCTTGAATACCTTGAGATGGTTGCTCCAATTCGGTGAGCCCTGCCCTTTGAACTTGGCCGTGGTGAACGAAGCGTAGCAACCCCCGGCGCAACGATTTAGGGTTTAGGGTTTAGGGTTTAAGGGTCAGCAAGCCTACTTACTAATCGAACCTGCAAACGTGTGCAGCCTGTAGAATTTTACACTTCGCTGACGCATGGAATCCGGCAATCTGGGTCAGGTCTGTCCTTGAGGCCACTTTGTTCCAGAGGGTTTAGAGTATAACGTTATATACCTAGGCAGGGTGACAGAGCAAAGCTTGATTTGGAACCCTAAAACCCTAGAACCCTAAACCCTAAAACCCTTGAACCCTCAAAACCCTACAACCCTTTAACCCTAAAAACCCTACAACACTATAACCCCTAAAACCCTAATAACCCTAAAACCCTAACAACCCTAAAACCCAAAAAAACCCCAAATCCTTAAACCCTTAAACCCCAGAACCCTAAAGCCCCCAAATCCTTAAACCCTAAACCCTAAAACCCTAAACCTTCAGAGAGCCGAGGAGATCCTGCAGATCAACCTCCAGGCCGCCTTGTACGTGGAGTGCGCCGTGGTGCAGACAGGGGAGGAGACCCGGAGGCTGAGGCCCGGGCCTGGCAGCTTAGGGTTTGGGGTTTAGGGTTTAGGGCCTTTAGGGTTTAGGGTTTAGGGTTTAGGGTTTAGGGTTTAGGGTTTAGGGTTTAGGGTTTAGGGCGAGGCTCCGCAAAGCCTGTTGCAAAAGGGTTTAAGGTTTAGGGTTTAGGCTGGGGGTTGAGGGTTGGCTCGCGTGCTGTACCTACTTCGCGTGTGACCCGGCTTCGGACGCTACAAGAGGCTTCTGGCTCCGTATGCCTCGGCCCCAGAGCTCCATGCCCGTTTGACACGTAAAGCCCCTCCTACACCTCTCAAGCCCCGGTCCCAAAGTGCCAGACATGCTCAGGCCTGGGGCCTTCTACTTCGTGGTGCTGCTTTCGCGGGGCATGCTGCGGGACGCGGAACCCTAAACCCTCAAAAAAGGCATCTGTGGAGGGGCTTGTCGGGATGTGGGAAATCCCTCCTCCTTGGCTTTTTGGGGGGCTTCAGGGTTCTGGGGTCTAAGATCCCCTAAACCCTAGAACCCTAGAACCCTAGAACCCTAGAACCCTAGAACCCTAGAACCCTAGAACCCTAGAACCCTAGAACCCTAGAACCCTAGAACCCTAAAACCCTAAACCCTAAACCCCTGTTGCAAGACGACGTCGTAGCCGAAGCCCGGGCTGGTCAAGAGGAAGTAAAGCCATCTCACTGAAGAGTTGCTGCTGAGAACCGCAAAGAGGACCCTGCCTTTGCGGAGATCCTGATCTCCTCTGGTGCCGGATCCGAGACCGCCATCCGGCTCAAATAGCTCAGAGGAAAAAGGACGCAGAGCTGGCCGTTCGAACGACTGTTCGGGCTGCCAGAAATGCCATTACGGCTCAGCGAAGCCGTAGGGCTGGGGGGAGCTGTTGTTTTTTTTGTTTGTTTTCGAGGGTGCTGCGACAGGGACGAGGCGGAATTTCAGGTTCAAGCAGGCGACCCCTGGACATCCCAAGTTAGCCTTCGAAACCCAAAGCTCCAATCATGAGGCAAGCCTGGAGATCGTCACCGTGGTGGCAGATGCGGCCTTCCAGTCGCCTCCCAGCACTGGCGGGGCTTTAGGTTTTCCGGGATTTGGTTTGAGTCGCTGTGAAGAATCCAGGTTTGCAGGCCGTTGTTAAGGCTGATCGCCCACAACTCTTCCCAAGGTTCAAACAAACGACTTGGGATGTTCCCCCTTCTACCAACAGTCCTTAATAGGGATTCTGGTACCCCCTTATTGTAATCCCTACTAAGGGGCTGTTAGTATAAGGGGGGAACATCCCAACAAACGGCTGCAAGCTGAGAGGCTTGGCGGCTTGAGATGCCCCCCGGTAGAACCCCAACTGCCAAGCAGCCACCAGACTCGTGCGAGACCCAGGTTTCCAGGGGCCAAGTTCTACACGGAGCTTGAGAAGAGGCTTCGGCTCGTCAGCACACCATTTATTTTACTATGAGGTGTACACGCTGTACATGTATCTCCATATATATATATACGTATATATACATATAATGTGTTTTCTGTCGATATATATATATATATATATATGGTCACCCCCCCATGATCCACACCTATGGTTTTCCTGTCTTCAAAGCCATTCAAAACTTTCATGATGTAAAAGGCTTTAAAGTCCTAAAAAGCCAAAACGTTTATCCCTTAAAATTCTAAAATACCTTTAAATTTTAAAAGGGCAGCCGTTCAAAATTAAGGAAGTTACGGATTTTAGGATTGAACATCCTACAATCCTGTCCTGTTAAAGGATTTGTAAAATTTACATGGTCTGGGGAAGGCACCGGGGCTTCTCCAAACCATGACAACTAACTTTAAAAAACCTTAAAATCCTAAAGGGCAGCCACATAAATGTTTAAGCATTTTAAGGTTTTTAAAAGGCTTTAACACCTTTAAAATCCTGAGAATGTTTAAACAGAATTTCAAGGATTTTGATAAGATTTTAATGATTTTAAAAGTTCAGATGGTCTGGAAAAGCCCCGGTGCCTTCCCCAGACCATTTAAATTTCCAAAAGTTTTTTGAAAAATGGTCTGGGGGGGCCCCGGTGCCTTCCCAGATCATTTAAATTTGAAAAATTCCTTGAAACCCTTAACCCTAAAAACCAAACCCGAAACCCTGAACACTAAACCCTAAGCACTCAGACCAACCCTAAAAACTTAACACTACGAGCCCTTAGCACAAACCCCACACTTAACACGCAACCCTAAACGCTTAAGCACTAAACCCTACCCTAAAAACTTAAACACTACACCCTAAGAAGTGTTACACCCTAAAAACTAAACCCTAAACATTACACACTAAACCCTACACACTAAACCCTGAACACTAAACCCTAAACCCTAAACGGTAGGATTTTTTAAGTTGTCAATGGTCAGGGGAAGCCCCGGTGCCTTCCCCAGATCATTTAAATTTGTAAAAAAACCTTCAAACCCTTAAAACCCTTAACCCTAAAAACCAGACCCGAAACCCTTAGCACTAAGCTCTAAACACTCAGCACTAGACCCTAAACACGAACCCTAAAAACTTAACACTAAGCCCTTAGCACAAACCCCAAACACTTAACACGAAAACCTAAACGCTAAGCACTAAACCCTAAACACTTAAACACTGCACCCTAGAAACTAGACCCTAAACATTACACACTAAACCCTACACACTAAACCCTAAACACTAAACAGTAAACCCCGAAGCCGGAACTTTAAGCCCTACTAAATCTAAACCTGAAACCAAGAACCCGTCGGGGTTTCAGATGCTTACTGTTTGGATTTTAGAGTTTAGGGTTTTATTTGGTTTAGGGTTTTAGCCAAGTCGCTTGACCCTAAACCCTAAACCTAAACTCCAGACCCTAAACTTAACACTCACAAAACACTAAACTCTGAAGCCTACACACTGAACCCTAAACACTGAACAGTAAACCCTAAACCCGAAACAACACATCCTGAACCCTAAGCCAACCCCAAACCAAACTAACATTGGGTTTCAGTCCTTTAGGGGTTGTAAAACTTCATCATTATAAGGTTTAGGGTTTTAGACATTATCCAAGTCGCTTAAACCTTAACCCTAAAAAGTAAACCCTAAACCTTTAAAACCAAAACCTAAACACTAGACCCTAAACCCTAAACACTGAACCCTGAGCACTAAACCCTACAAACCCTAAACAATAAACACTAAACCGTAATCCCTAAACGTGCATATGGAGAACATGGGCCCCGGACTCCAGACTCCAGATTTCCAAAAAAATCTGGAGTACCCGGGCCCCGGACTCCAGACTCCAGATCTCCAGAAAAAATCTGGAGTACCGGGCCCCGGACTCCAGATTCTGGAGTACCGAGGCCCCGGACTCCAGACTCCAGATTTCCAGAAAAAATCTGGAGTACCGGGGCCTCGGACTCCAGACTCCAGATTTCCAGAAAAAATCTGGAGTACCGAGGCCCCGGACTCCAGACTCCAGATTTCCAGAAAAAATTACCCGGGCCCCGGACTCCAGATTTCCAGAAAACATCTGGTGTACCGCGGCCCCCCAGACTCCAGATTTCCAGAAAAAATCTGGAGTACCGGGGCCCGGACTCCAGACTCCAGATTTCCAGAAAAAATCTGGAGTACCCGGGGCCCCAGACTCCGGATTACAGACTCCAGAATCTGGAGTCCAGGGTCCCGGTACTCCAGATTTTTTCTGGAAATCTGGAGTCTGGAGTCCGGGCCCCGGTACTCCAGATTTTTTCTGGAAATCTGGAGTCTGGAGTCCGGGGCCGCGGTACTCCAGATTTTTTCTGGAAATCTGGAGTCTGGAGTCCGGTGCCCCGGTACTCCAGATTTTTTCTGGAAATCTGGAGTCTGGAGTCCCGCCCCTCCCAAAAACCAGCCTTCCCGAGGCCAAATGTGTGGAAAATGGGGGGGGGGGGGGGCGAGCATATATATATATATATATATATACATATGTATATTCTATCCACCTCGCGCTTTCTCTCTCTCAGGGATATCTTGCTCTATTTTCTTTGGAGGGTCTCATTCTGCTTTGCACTGCAAAGCTGCGTCGCTCCGGGATGAGGCCTTGTTGGGCGCAGCCCGGTCTTCCAAGATCGATTCTCTCTTTCTTGCTTTTGGGGTCAATCCCGGATTTGGCAAGCAGAGAAGCATTCGGGGTTCAGTAGGCCGGCAGAGACTCCCATGTCAGGGACCCTCGACCCGACTCAACCCAGAATCGCCAGAGCGGAGAGGAATGCAAAAGTGGAAGGCACCGTTCATGCCTTACATCTGGCACACCTTTGGTGAAGTAGGGCCTCTGCTCCGTGTCAGCATATGTAAACTGTGTTTTCATCGGCATCATTCTCATCCGTGGCAAACAAGCGTGCAGCGGAAGGGTCTTCGTCGACCCAAACAGCCCCACAGAGCGCAAAATGGCCCACTCAAGCAAACCCTAAAGCTCCCAAAGCTGCAAAGCCTCTACTTAACCCCCCCAAAGCCCTCCAAAAAAGCACCCACATAATCCCCCCTCCCCCCCAAAAAAAAAACTCGAAAGCCCTCTATCACCCTAAACTCTAAAAGTATAGCCCAAAACCCACAAAAGGACCGTGCTTTTACATACGTTGGGGGTTCAAGTAAACGCTAAACCCTGAACCCTGAACCCTAAACCCTAAACCCCCAAAACCTCCAACCTCCAAAAAGCTCCGAGGAATGGCCTGGAGACCTTGGGGCCCAATGCGGGGCCGCGGCTGGCAAAGGCCTACAGAGCGATGCCGCGCGGTTTGACCGGGGGTTTGTTTAGGGTTTAGGCGGTTTAGGGCTTCAGGGTTCAGGACCTGGATGCCACAAAAAGGGTTCAGGGTTCCATTCTATTTGGGGTATAAAACGGGTACTCCTAATTTGGGAAATACCCTTGATGTGTAATCGCTTGCATTTTAACCTATTGAGAGACTGAGGGATGAGAGTTGCTCATTGTTTTTTGGTGGCGGGGGCTTATAAACTCTTATAGGGTTTATAGGCGTTTCTGAAACTTTTCTAGGGTTCCTAGAGGGTTTCCATAGGGCGTTCTATAGGGTTTGAAATTCGTGTTTGTTTGGCTTTGGGGTTGGTTTTAGAGGGTAATGCTTTTGGGTTGCCGTTTTTGGGGTGTGTAGGGCTTAGGATTTGTTACAAGTAGGCCAGATGCACTTTAATCGTTGTGTTAGTGTTTTGGCTTTCGGGTCATTTTGTGGGTTTGGGTTTGAACTTTTTTTGGGTAAGGCTTGGTGTTGAGGGGATAAGTAGATAAGTAGAGCAACAAAAACCTTGTTAAAACCATAGCTTGGGCACTTCTGAACCTAATTACAAGTAGGGTTCGGTCGTTGGGGCTTGCTGAGGACTTGGCATGAATCCCTTCCCCCCATTCCCCCCTTCCCCCCTACGTCAAGGTCGCAGTGTGACCCATGCGAATAGTCCGGGTAATCTTCATGTTTGAAGGCTGGGCATGCAAGTCACTAGCCCCTCGCGGAAGGTGGCTGTCAGAAACGTCGAAAAAAAGCACCCTGAAAGATAGCACAAAACCCTCAGCCCTTGCGAAGCTCAAGGTTGAGGCACTAGCCCGCACTCACCCCAAAACCAGCACGAGGGGGAAAGTTCTGTCTTTGCCATTGAGCCCGATGGGGTCGCAAGGACGCCTGGGCTCCTCTTGTGAGAGCTTCTTAGGGTCTCACAAACGTGCGTGTTTAGGGTTTAGGGCCCCTTAGCATTCGCTAATTTCCCTCAGGGCCCGCCTTTGTCCCAGACCCTTAGACCGAAAACTCTCGGCCTTTGGACCGTTCGAGAGCTTCAGGCTGGAATATTACTGCAGAGCCGCATTGCACCATCAAAACAGAGCAAGAACCCAGCGGCGGCCCTACAGCGGAAGTCTGCAAAAAAGCCCGCCTGAAGGACTTCTCAAGAAGCAGACTTCAGAGCAACTTCCCTGCATGATGAGAGTTATGGGTGGGAGTTCGGCCTCAGGTCACGTCAGTGGTGCAGGTCCCACGAAACCGAATCCCTGAGCCCTAAGCCTCAAAAAGCCCAAGCCTGCCCTCCAGTACCCCGGGAGGTGCAGGGTTTCGGGTGTGCGGTATGAGGTTCATTGTCTTGCTTCTTGTGCTCGAAATGTTGCACCCTGAACATCAGCCACTCGAACCTGAAGCCCGTCCCCCCACGCACCCGAAGCTAAGCTCCAATTCTAGGGGCTTAGGGTCTATAGGTAGACCCTGGGGTTAAGAGGATGGTATGTAGGATATTTTCATATGGTCCCTTATTGGGTTTAAGAGGATCATATGTTGGATGTTCCATCTTTTTCCCTTATTGGGTTTAAGAGGATCTTCTGTGGGAGTATGCCTCAGAGGGTTTTTAGGGCCATCCCAGGGATGGTTGAGGGACTGTGCGCTCCGAAAAGGGGGCTGCCGAGGATTGCCCACCGCTTCCACCGCTACAAGCAGCCCGGCTTCGGCACTGAGGGGATAGGGAGTTGGGATTTTGGGGGGGCTGTTGCAGTTGAGGGTTGAGAGGTTTCAGGATTCTTTGGCCTTGCTTTTGAGGGGTCTGCGGGGCTTTGGGAGCCAAGAGTGGGACGACTTAGGAATGTAGACTGGCTCAGGTCTGGGTCCTTTCGGGGTTGTGGAGTGGTACTGGTACTCTAGACTCTAGACCCCCCTTAAGCTAGGTAGGACCTTGGGATATTTCATATTTTCGGCCGTCCTAGTAAGCCTTGGCCTAAAAGCCTTATAGGGTTCAGGGTGTAGGGCTCCAGGCCCAGACCCCAACCCGCGAAGCATGGCGTTGCGCCTTCGATTCGAGAGCCCTCTGGGGCTCGGGGTTCTAGAATAGCCCTACTTGAGCCACCCTCGACCGGCGGGAGCCGAATGAACAACAACAGCAGCAGGGGTTGCGAACGGTCGGCAGCAAAAGCCCCAAAGAGCCCTGCAAGCCACAAGGAAGAAGTCCGTGATTGCAGCCCTAGACTCAGCGGACGGGTCGGAGGAGCTGAGCAATGCCCTGGACGAGGCAAATTTTGTAGGTTTCCACAGGTGCAGCTGGTTGCCAAGGATTTTCGCAGTTGTTGACAGGGGCTTCGTAAGCACTTCGATGGATTCTGGAAGCAAAGGGGGTGCTGGGGCCAAATGCTTTCATCTTCAGGGGTCTTATAGGCTTCGGAGAGCTTCCGGTTTTACGTCTTAGCCACAAAGGACTCGGGGGATTTCAGCTTCACATGGCGTCGCGAAATTCGCAACGGGAAGCCCTGAACTACGCGAAGGCCTTGGCTCTTCACGGCCGGCTCGGGTTGGCAACCCAAGCCTTGGGAGTTCTGGTGTAACGGGCCTAACATGGCCCAACAGTATGTCAGCTTTAGGGCTTAGTGCGTTCGGGCGTTCTTACGGTTTGGGCCGATGAGTGTGTGCTTGCATGGCCTTGGGGGGGGGGGTTTCCGATATTAGGGGCACCTTATTGGGGTCCCTATCGCACTAATTTGGGGGGCTATATGAGGGGTCCCGAATTTTCGCGCACCCCGTGGGGGGGGGGGGGGGGGATGGGTGTGGGGGCCCAATAGAGTGCAGGCGGAAGCCATGTTCGCGGCTGTCGAGTCGCAGTTCGAGGCCGGAGTTCCCCTTCTGTTTTTTCATTTTGCTTGCTTGTTTAGGGGCTAGGGTTTAGGGTTTAGGGTTTAGGGTTTAGGGTTTAGGGTTTAGGGTTTAGGGTTTAGGGTTTAGGGTTTAGGGTTTAGGGTTTAGGGTCTGGGGGAGGCTGGGCTCGTAGTCCCGAGGCTGCCAAGAGATTCGTGCGTCAAAAGTGTGGTTCTAACAAACATCCAGGCTTGACGCCGGCATGGAGAATAGGTTTAGGGTTTAGGGTTTAGGGTTTAGGGTTTAGGGTTTAGGGTCTAGGGTCTAGGGTCTAGGGTCTAGGGTTTAGGGTTTAGGGTTTCATTTTTGGGAAAAGAAATCCTCTGGGCACGTTCAGCAGCGGTGGGCTCGAAGCTGCCTTCCTTGTGGCTATTTTCCTTCATTTCGTCGGATTGTTTAGTTTAGGGTTTAGGGTTTAGGGTTTAGGGTTTCGGGTTGAGGGGTCTAGGCTACCACAGGAGCCCTGAAGCAAAACGGGTTTAGGGTGTGGAGGCCAATTGGTGCAGGGCCGGAGCCCGAAACCCTAGAATCCCCGCAGCACGGACTACATGAGGGCCTCATGAAGATTCACAGGGTTGAGCCGGGTTTTCGCCCGCGAAGAAAACGAGAGGGGTCCGGGCTACATGGGCCCTTGTGAGGCCTCATCCGCTAAACCCTAAACCCTAAACCCTACACCCTACACCCTAAACCCTAAACCCTAAACCCCAAACCCCAAACCCCAAAAGCAAAACCCCAAAAGCAAAACCCCAAAAGCAAAACCCCAAAAGCAAAACCTCATGTAAAGCGCCATCAAGGTGGGTCGCCTAAGCACGGTGGAGCCGGAGCCGCAGACTTTCAAGTGCAGTCTCTGATGCAGAGGCCGCTTTGAGGGATGTAGAGATCTACCCGAGGCAAACCCTAAACCCTAAACCCTAAACCCTAAACCCTAAACCCTAAACCCTAAAGTCAGAAAGTTCTGAAGACATGCGACGTCCGCGAGCCCCAATCCAGGCTCGTGCTCAGAGCTTTCGTTGCATTCCTTCGAGCATAAAAGTGCAGATGTAGGGACAGACCTGAGTTGAGAAATTTCCAAAGTAAAAATGTGGGTGGGTTCTGAGCAGAAGTTCAGGGGACCGCGCTGGAAGCAATAGTCAAACCACGCGCCTGAGAACCTGCACGTACTTCAGCCTGCGATGCACTCTGTGGAGCACTGGGATTCGGGCCTGTAAAGCCAAACTTCATGACCTTACGCCCGAAAGTCTAAAGTCTTTTGGGGGGTTTCAGGTGACGCTGAGTGAGCCACGAGTTCATGTGATAATTGGCGTGCCTCGGTTTGACACATTTGCGCCGTCGAATGTCAGGGTTCAGGCGGACCATGATCCATGCAGATGTGTTACATGTTGAACGCTACCAGGCTGCCTCAAACGAGAGCCTGTTTCAGCCAGGGAGCCGAGCCCATAACGGGAACGCTCCGGGTCGTTAATGACAGGACCGGCTACCACATGGAGCTATCCCAAGCCGTATACCTCCAAAGTTCGAACTGAACGAAGTTCTCAAACCCCAGCCCGCAAGACACTGGCGGCCGTTCTGCCTGCCTGTTCGCCCAGCAAAGCTGGGCGGGTACAGGACTCTGGGCACTTCCACGCACCCTCAAGCTGTCTCTTAAGGTACCCACAGGTGAACCAAGCGTGAGGTCTTCAAGGCCCAACATAAGCAACATGGGTCCGTGCGAAGTCCCACCCAGCGAGCTCGAAGGCAGCATGGCCTTGGCAAATGACCCAGGTGAATGCTGGCAGCTAAGCCCTGAGAGGCCATAGAAATCTGCACCCTAACCCTAACAGGGGCTGATTTAAAAAGACTTTTTACTTCTTAGCGCCCCCCCCCCCCCCCCCCTAATCATTATACAATTGTACAATCCTTACTAAAGCCATAGAAATCAATTTTTTTTACTGGAGCCCGCAAACCTACCCTAGCTAAAACCCCAGCCCTGAATCGCCTGGGCTTGTTTACGTCTCCCCCAGCTCGACACTCGAAAGCCTAGTCCCCCCAGGAGCGCCCAGCCTCCACAGGGGGGTTTGCGAAAATAGTGGACCCCAAAATAGACCCCCAAAGATTAGGGTCCCCGTATCATGGGGACCCCAATAAGGTGCCCCCTAATATCGTAAACCACCCTATGAATCTTAAGTTCGTGGCAGCTGGTCTCTGTCTTACCGGCTGCATGGGTGGGATGAACATAGGTAGCTCTCTAGCATCGTGGCATACTCGTAGCTGCAAGAACTGTGCTTTCAACATGCAATCCCAAGGGCATGCTGCCGGTACCTCGTTGAACGTTGGAGACGGCGGCGAAACGATGCGAAAAGCCCGTTCATCATGCGTCATCAGGGAGGGTTTGTTCAACAGGATCATTGGAGTGGCTTGCTGACCAGTCCGCCCAGTCTGAACACCATGCCAGCACTTCAAAGACCATTGCCCGCAGCACATCAATCGCACCTCCGGCACCCGCAAAACCATATATATATATATATAGATATATACATATATGTATATATATATATATATATACATACATACATATATATATATATATATGTATACAAAACGCATGCACTTCAAGCTGGAGCCCTACTGAACCCTCAGGCAGCATGATCCATGCTTGTCTGCTTCCTTCCGCGCCAGGCCTGTCTTGGCCGTCCCTGGGATGCCCTCAGGGCTCTGGTGCTTGGCCCGGCTGCAACCGTTGTTTCCACGGATGCTGCGGAGTTACTTGGAGGTTCGTGGATAGGTAGAAGTAGGGTTATAAAGTAGCCTGGATAGGGTTAGAATTTGAGGTATCCTTCTTATAACCCAAGGCATAGCTACCCAGGAACCTTCAAGTGAGGGTGTAGGTCACATGTCTTGGCTGGCACACTTAAAGTCCAAAGACTCAGATGGCACAATGGGTTGGCAAAGCTTACAGGAGGAGGGGTGCATAGCTGGAAGAACATACCGGACGAAGAACAGGCTGTTTCATTGGCCAGGACAGTTTTTCCCTTACTTGCTTGCAACAAATAGAAACTAAACTGGAAGGATTAGCTATGCTGCACTATGCTATGTGTGGGAGTCGTTCTGAGAGTGTCTGGTGCTGCACGGAGCCCTGTCTGTTCATGTGCTGTTCCATAGTTTTGATTTCCAGGCATTCCTTCAGCCATCTCTAAACCCTAAGCCCTATAAACCTTACAGCCAGCTAGGCGGGTGGCAAGACAAACCCAAAACCCCAAACCCGCTAAACCCCTAAACCCCTAAACCCCTAAACCCCTAAGCCCTAAGCCCTAAGCCCTAGCCCTAGGCCCCTAAGCCCTAAGCCCTAAGCCCTAAGCCCTAAGCCCTAAGCCCTAAGCCCTAAGCCCTAAGCCCTAAGCCCTAAGCCCTAAGCCCTAAACCCTAAACCCTAAACCCTAAACCCTATAGCCATGCCTCAGGTGCTGCCTTCCGCTCCCCCAGCGGATGCCGCTTCCCTGGCGCAGCGGCCTCGTGTCGTGGCGGCGACCTTGGTGACCACGTGCGTAGGCTCATGTGTTTAGGGTTTAGGGTTTAGGGTTGAGGGTTTAGGGTGGGTTCTTATCAACCTGCAGACGTAACGCGTCTTGACGTGGGATTCCTTAGGCCCCAGAAGGTACACCCTGCTTGCAAGTATTCATTACACTTCAAGTGTGCAGATAATCACTTGAGGTTTGGGTGCCCCTCAATTTTGAAACACCGTCCTGGCCGCTCGAGCCTACGAAGCAGGGGCGGCTCGCGCTCTCACGGAGGGGGTTGATTTGAGTTATGGGCCCTTTTGGGGATTCTGGCCAAGCTTTTCCTAAAAGTCCAAAAGAACGCACTTTAAGATTTTGATCAACCCCCAGGAAAGGGAGTTAAAAAGAGCAATTCGGTGTCCGAGCTTTTGTGGGTGTTTCCGGGTTTTTTGTTGCGGTTGCTGTGAGTCGGCGTTGTATGTCTGTGGACTGTAGGGCTCTGCACTTGTGCGGCTTCTGCATGCTATGTTGGGGGTTCGAAGTCTCTCTTCGATTGTTTGAGGTTTTGAGGGTTCTCAGGGTTGCACGACTACGGATGAGAAGGCCTTCAAATCACTTCTAAACCCTGAGCCCAGGACACTACGACTACTAGCTTCAGGGGCTTGCCAGGGTTTTAAGGGGGTTGCAGACCATCCGGCAGAAAACGGACGGAGGCAGTAGAGGGCTCTGAGATCGGCGCTTTCAAGATGCCCACAAGATGTCGGCACCCTAACTTCCCGCGTCCGGGCTATCCCCTACTGATAGATCCTGGCTCCGGCACGTCCCAAAAGACCCTCAGCAATTGCCCCAAGCCCTGAACTCGAACCCCTAAGCCCTCAACCTAAACCACCTAAACCCTAAGCCCCTAAACCCTGAACCCTAAACCGAAAACCCTAAACCCTAAACCCTAAACCCTAAACCCTAAACCCTAAACCCTAAACCACCAGGTCCTGTCAGCCGAGGGCTTTGGTGGCTCAGGCGGCAACCAGGCCACGTGGCCTGGGCTCTTGAAGCGCCAGCTCCTGCGCCACTCAGCCGAGATTTTAGGTAGAAACGAAGTGTAGCGTAGGGCCCCGAGTAAAGATTCAGTGGTTTGAGGTTCAGGTCCTTGGTGGAAATCAAAGGGGTCAGGGTTTTGGGCGTTGGGTGTTTGATGTGGTGTGGGTAGAGGACGTGGGCGCTGGACGGGGGAACAGATTCTCGGGATTCAGCCCCAAACCTTAAGTGGGCTACAGGGCAAGGATTCTGGGCTGCTGCATGTTGCAGCCGAGAGGGTTCGTCATTCAGGAATTAGGATTCAAGGTGTCTCGTCCTTGTTGCTGCCTTTAGCCGGACAACCCGAGCTGTCGGCACCACATGCAGTTTTGTTGAAACAGGAACGGTTCATCAACAGCGTTCCAGATCGAAAGCTGTCTCAATGCAAGGAACCGTTCACAAACGAAAGCCTTGCACAGCGATCTAGCTTGTGAAGTTGCCATAAGTAGCGTGCTCAGAATGAAACGTGTGTTTTATCGTTACATGTGTTCAGAGTCCGGGCTACATCGCCTGACGCACACGCGCAGCTCCCCATGCCATGACAAAGCCAGATTTCAGATTTAACGTTATTGAACCGTGAGCCTTCAAGCCCAACATTGTAAGACCTAAACAGTGTCAATCCCTCCCGAATTAAACCCGAAACCCTGAACCCCTATGCCTCGGGAGCTTGCTGAGGTGCAAAGGATGAGCCGGAAGTCACAGCGGCGGATGCGGGGCCCCCGGCGCCGATGTGGAGAGATGGTTTGGTTGAATGTATGTATGTCTGCCTGTCTGTACGTATACATGTTTTGCATGCTTCTATATCTATATCTATATCTATATCTGTATCTGTATCTGTGTCTGTATCTATATTCTATATGTATATCTATTTCCATATCTATATCTATACCTGTACCTGTACCTGTTCCTATACCTATACCTAATAACTATTTCTATATCTATATCTATATCTATATCTATATCTATATATATATATATATATATATATACACACTGATTTATGTATACATGCATACATACATACATACATACATACATACATACATGCATGCACACATACAGCGAAGGTTGCGAGGCCCAGGTTCCAAACCTACAGCCAAAAGTCCGATCTGCAGGAGAGCGCCGTCCTAAAGAGGCTTCCGGAGCTGCCCTCAGGTCTTACAGCCGCTGCTCCCTCTTGAGGACGCCGAGGCCGGCAACGGAAGCTTGAGCTTGGGTGATGACTCGTCTTGGTTTGGGTCTTCAAAATTTCAAACAAAATACAAAGCCACGTTATATGAGAACATATTAGAAAGAGAAGAGCAACCATAGTTTTTTCAGCGGCTTGGTCCAGAGCCCGCGTATTGTGCTGAATTCGGGTTGCTGCGCCAGTCAAGGGCATGGTCTGAAAACATGGTGCCGGCCAGAGTCGGGGTTCTGAGCTATCTGAGCTATCTGAGCGCCTTTTGGTGTTGAGGGTGAAGCGAATCAGTTACTCTTTCGGCCGGCTCCTGCCCGGTCGTGTGGAGGGCATGGTATTCTTCAAGGACGTTGAGGTTTTGAGCTGCGGATCCCCAATCCACACCACGCCTTCAACCGCCTTATAAGGCTTTTTTTCCAGGATTTCGACTTTTTGAAGTGCAGGGTTGCGAGCACCGAGCCCGGCATGCGAAGCCTTGCGTCAATGGTTTTTTGGGTTTAGGGTTTAGGGTTCCCTTATGCTAGGAGTCCTAAATAGGGA